TTCACCTTCTTGCGGGTCATCAAGTCGTTAGCCAAGCGCAAAGTGACGGGATTCGATTTTCCCGTGCTAGGGGTCCTAGGGGTGCTCATAGTGAGCGTAATCGCGTCCCTGTTACTATTCACCCATCCGTCAAACCTATAATAATTCATCGGGATACCCAGCTGCTTTTTGCCGTCCCCACTCTCCGATAGGATCTCCATAGACGTAACAAATTCGTTCCACTCCCAGTAGACACAAACAGGGTCTCCCTCGTTGAAAGTCGATGGCACAATGACGGTGAGCATTTCGTTCTTTGCATACGCGAGCCAATCTAGCTTCCCCACGTACACGAGGCACCTGGGCGTGAAAGGAGGTTCCGAGTAGTTGAGCTGTAGGGTGCCAGTGAACGTAGCAGATGTATTATTGGAGGGACTGCACATCATGAGGGTCAATGATTTGAAATCGGCGGCGAGTGTAACATCGAATCTGTAGTAGTGGTCATAGGAGCAGCCAATCTTCTTTGCCAATGTGACGCTGTCGATAATGCCATTGTAGGACACGTTTACTTTCTCATTCCCTTCAGCGTCCTTTGTCCATTGCCAGAAGGCAGACACGGGCTCGCCGAGACAGAAATCGGTGGGGAAGACGATAGTGATGGCTTCGTTGACTGCGTACGAGTCGAATAGGCTTCCTCTATAGACGTACATCTAGCAAAGGTGTCAATTCGGAAATCCTTCTTTTTGAGACTATGGAGACGCGCCTTTGGATCAAAGCAGTATCAGAGAAATCGTGTTGTATCGAGGACTGGATAATGCATTGCTTAGAATCCAACTTGATATATATATGTGTGTTGGATTCGGACCTTTCCGAACCATTTATCGGTCAATCGTCAAGCAGTCACAAGTCTGGCCAAATGAACACGCAGTGTGTGCCGTCTGAGCTTCATTCTGCGTGTCAAGATTTCACAGAATCAGTGATTCAGCCGGGTCTCACCAAAATAACCTATCACTGCGGTGATGAGAACGTATTGCCAAATACGCAGTCTTCTGGAGAATACTCTGTGTATATCGTGATCGACCAACCACTTTTGAGATCCACTATCAAACCATCGCCCTGTATCGATCCAGTCAGATTGCGATAGAATCCTCCTATGGTTAGCCTCGAACTGTGGAAGCACTGTCAGCTCGACATGAGAAAAAACAGGACAGACCGTACAATCCATTGTATCATGGAGCTCGAGTTTCTCTCCAAGTGTATCACCGATGGTTTCCGTCCCTGCATTAACTTTCCAGCGTAAATGATATGATTTCTGCCTACCAGACGGGAGGGGCGTCAACGGGTCTACAGCCTACAATTATGGATGGATTCGTGAGGATGAATCATAGAATTCATCAGCTTGACATCTTATTTGAGACAGTACACGCAACAGATCCTTGACCTCGTTCCGCAAGGATGAGGTATAGATCGTTTCTATTATGATTTTTCATATATTCTAAAACAGCTTCATTGCAATCAGAACTTTGAGCTACACCCTACAGAAATAGAGCCACCCACAGATCGTATCTAATCGCGTATTCTGATAATCCATAGAAACGCCAATAATGAATTCCAAAGTATTCTGAATGAACCGACATCAGTTTGAAGAAACTAACACAGCATCACGGACGCACCTAGTAATACCTGAATCTCCGGCAAAGAAAACGCAGAAACGGAGATACAATGAGCTGCAGGAAAGGAAATCTTCTGGGCCCAGCCTTCATATTGAACACGACGCATCACCCGAGCGACACACCCTGATGTTAGCATCACCCGCGAATGTCGAGCCCACCCGTCCCGATGATGAAAATATGAAGCTCGTCTCTAAGATTAAGGACACAATGCTTCGAAGCACGTTCTTGGAGTTCGTGGTTGGTACCCGCGTCCTAGCGTGCCTACCCCAATAACCTTGTTATTGCAAGGCTCTCGTGTGTCTAGATCCTTTTGTTCTCTCGCGTCTTCCCTCATGGCATACAGCTTGTTTCCCCATACAAGATGTCACGCACGGGACGGTGGATGAGAGGAGTGGTTGTGCACGTGCGAGGGAAAGAGGGTTCGGCGATCAGTAAGTGTAGGGGAGTGCATGCATGCTCAGTCTTCCTCGGCGTCGACATCACGCTCGCCGGAAGATGATACATCGTCTTGGGCCAAAATTCGGCATCCTACACGCTGGCATCTCCTTCCCAGGACGACCCCTCGGCAGATAACTTTGTTCCTTGCCCAGTGAGAGCTTCTCAGATATCGATAACGAGACTGGAGAAGGGAGCAACGGCCGTCGTGCGGGGGTGTAAGGGATATGAAGATGGAGGCAGGGAAAGGACACGATCAGAGATCTGTGCACATCCTCCCCTGCAAAACCATCCCGGTGAGGTCGACGGGGGCCGAGAGGATCGGCGGGGGAGTCAATGATCTGGATGCGAGTGCACGAAAAATGAACAATAAAACTAGCATACACATAAGATACAAGACGATAATGGTGTATGAGAATATAAACTCACTGGAGTCAAGTTGACATGTTACACGCATCTCCCGTTCATCCACCATTCACAGCTTGCAAACGATATACTCTTCCTATGGAGGATGGATGCCACTCACCGTGGGGGCATCAGTCTCGGACAAAACGGGCTTGCATGCTATCGGTATCGACATAAGCTGAAAATATACTGAAATCAATAAAAAATACACGGAAGAAAGGAGGACGGAGCATACCAGGCAGGGGAAGGCCATCCTCAGTGATTTGACATTGACCTAAATCTTCGGAATCGTGTTTGAACGAGGCAGCTGTCAGAGGCGAGTGAGATGGAAGAAGCATGAAGAGAGCTACCTGCACAGCCATGCCTTCGGCAAACACTCTAGTCCCAATTCGGAACTCAACGCCCTTCCTCGACTTGCACCGTGTAACAAGCCCTACTACCTCTCACATTCATAGTGAGAGGCAGCGGATATGATAAAGATATGTGTCGTCTAACAGGGGATGGAATATTGGAGGAGCATAATGACAGCGGAATGTGACGGTAAGTGGGAACCAAGTATTATGCATTCCGAAGCTTTATAGTCTCGTGACCGCCATTTCCGGACAAGGGCCCGCGGCGGCGCCGGCGACAAAGTCCTTACTGGAGGGACACTCAGCCATGTACACAATACCTAGTTTCAATGTTCAATCATTTCCGAACTCGGTTCATTTCTTTACTAAGGCAACACTACAAAACTGTATAAATGACCTGGTAGTATTTGGGAGAGCGAGTGGGGTAGGTACAGTAAGATACAGTTTCACGAGACAAGCACCTCTTTGTTCCAGTTGAGATTCCAATGTCTAGCAGACCGGAAGTTAGGAGGGTCGCGACAACAACACTATGCAAGGTATTAGTATCTGCAGCTTACCTGGACATTACACCCCGATTTCCGTGGACTTCCAGGAATTGCAGTGAAATCCCATGTACATTGATTTGCATTCATTTACATTACTGTACAATGATGTACATGACTGTGCATGGCCTTATCCGTACCTGATGACACCTTTGCCTATGCCGATAAAGCATCGCCTCCGTGCCTTTTACCATCATACCAAATCACCGCCCATGAAATGCCATGCAAAAACCTTCCCAAATGACTTTCGTGTACATTTGTGTACTTCCATGTACTTCAATGTACTTCCATGTACACTTGTCACGTTCTATCACGCTCTCTCGATCAGTAGGTCCAGAAGCCCATGTCTACCGCACTTTCAGGTCCCCTCTCCTGTATCCCCTGTTTCAGCCATTTGTCCCCATTCGCTACCCTCCTGCACGAAATCTCTTAAATCAGTTGTTTCCACTCCCCCTGGCTGACAATGCACCATGTTGGATAGTAGCCGCTCTCAAGAACAGACTTTGGAGGACCAAGCCAACGAAGGCGCTGCAGCAGTCGACTTTGAACAGGACAGACAGCCACCACAGATGAACGTGGTGACCATTGTGGGTATGTTACCAACCTTGTTTGCTGGGGAGTAGCAGGGCTGACTGGCTGATCTCATTGATTTTCAATTCCGTAGGACAAAGAAGCCCCAATCATGGTGCCGGCAGCAACCTCTCGATGCAGTGGGCGATCTCGCTCTGTGACATGCTTTGCGTCAGGGCATCGCAAAATGCCACCCATGTTAGGAGTCGTTGGCTAGTTTCGAACGTGGTGGTGGAGAGAGCATGGGCTGCCATAGGGGAATTGGTTAGAAGTCATCCCAACCCCAACGCGGTGGTACAGCAGTCCGCTTGGAGGATTGATCCCTATTCGCGCATGATCTTGAACGCCCGAACCATGTCGACCCCAGCAACAGTACGAGGCAATTGGGGGGAGCAGGTCGGAAAGCAGGATACAAGCGAAGGCATACACAATTCGATCGAGGCGCACAAAAGCGCATCTGAATAGTGGCGAACATTGCCATGAGACGTTACATGCCGCAACTGGCCATAGCTAATAGTAGACTGTAGTAGAAAGTAGCCACGTGTCATGCCGACTTTGGCATGACATGTCATGCAACGTCACTGAAATACTGGTTGCGATTCGACTCCCGCCTTGCATCGTGCCGTGACAGTAATGTCGGCCGTGTTTCCGCCTGGACGTTGTGGTTGGCGGCTGTGTTGTAGACTCCACCCTGGTACTCCACCTGCCCCGGCACACTGTCGCGCAGCCTGTCAACATGGGGCTGTCATCCAGATCACAGATACGAGAAGATACAATGCTGCATGAATATTGAGGCACAAGATATGAAATCGATGTGAAAATCGTGGACGAGGCGGGAATGCATATTTAAATGCCAGGAACGAAATTGGTAGTGAATACCCATCCTCTGAAGTGCAGAGGTGCATCGTAACAGTCTCAATGCAACAGCTTCTGCTTGGCGAAGTAACACGCTCTGGTAGGACTATCTGGGCGACAGCGAGGCTGCATGACTTAGGTACGGCGACTCATCTTCCCTTGTTGAACAGTGGGCTAATGGGATGTGACTGAGCAGATGCAACAGCATTGTGGGCCAGTGATCCTCCCAGTTCGGATTATGATCCCAGCATGCACCCCGACCCCGACGATAGCAGTGAAATCGGTCAGAATGAGGGAGATTATACCGCAGATGGCAGTCCTTCTGTTGGGCATGATTTGGACGCGAGTGTGAGCAGGGATTCAGGTTGGTCTCGAGCCTTCAAGGCTGCGTTCGAAGCTTTTGTTGACAAGGAGCCCCCTCAGATCAAGTAGTAGGGGCAGGTTAGCAATTCTGTGTGTGGGTTAGGGTGTGAATCTAGGAGGATCTGACTTTATGATATCAGGTTCAGTCGGCTATGTGAACAACGATATTGCAGATCCACAGGAGGCGGAACTGGCTATTGAGCCAGAAACACTAGGTGCATAAGATTCCTAATCTGCGGGTGGTATTTGTTGTTAACACCCTGCTTACAGACTTGTCAACGCTGTTCAATGGGCTGCGTGAGCATTCTCCTCCCAAGCCTGATGAGAGCTTGGATCCGGATGAGGTTCCGCACGAGCAAAGCCGACCTGGGGAGGCAACAACGACGTTGACGACCATGGAAGGCGTTGTAGCTGGAGAGGCTGGGGGGATGTCATTAGGTGTGTTGTGCTAGTGCTCTGTCATAACTTTGTATGCTGAGCAATAGAGGCATTTTGCCAGACCTGGCCAATTTATTTGCGCAGCTGCGAGATAACACCATTTTCCAGGACTCTTTTGCAACTGGTACCAACTTACAATCGGAGACTCAGCTCACGACGTCCTTGCCGCTGTTCACAGAAAGCTCATCCATGCCGCAATCACCTTGCAATGCTATGGCAATTGATAACGATGCGCTTGATGATATGCCTTTGCCATCATCCGACGATGAGATGGAAGATCAAGATGTCTACGACGAATTCCTACCAGAGGCATTCCCAAACCAACGCATTCGAAGGACGATGTGAGTGGAACTGTCACTTGGCCATGCGTGGGATGGACTAACATGCTCTCTACCTCAGATTTGCAGAGGTGACTGTTTTCGTCAGGTACGAATCGTTGGATAGACGTACCGGTGTCTATGTCGAACAGGGGCTGTACATTAATGTGACAGATGACCCTGTCAATCCCACAGTGAGCATCAGTGCATGTGACTTCATCGATCTTTGTCTTGCTTTTAAGGTGGATTTCAGAGGGACTGCTGGAGTGCTGTCGCACTCTGGAAAACCGTACGGGACGTCTGGTAGATCGAGTGCTGAGAGACCAGTTGCCGTACATTGTTGGGACCAACAATAAACCACTCTCGCTCACTGCTGTGCAGGCGACAGTGGCGGGACAAATGTCGTATCAAGAACTTGGTCGACTGGACAAGATCTTAGATTCAAGCTTGGACAACCTCCACACACTTCCTTGTTTAGATTGTCCTGAGAAAGAGCAAGTCGACGCTGCTGCGGCGACACGCAGCAGAGTGGAGAGCCTGCCGTGCTATGTAATCTATCTGACTTCACCTGTAAGTGTGCGGTGTTCTGGTGGGCTGGGAGACAGCAGTTCTAACAGATCTTTCTCAGGAATGGGATAGTACAGGAAACCTTGAGTCAGGTGCAGCATCTGCTTCAGTGCCTGCGTCTTCATCCACAGGCTCAAGGTCCAAGGAAGTTACTGTTTGTCAACGAGCAGTGTGTGGCATGTGAATCAGATTGACCTGTGCTCAAGTGTCTTTCATTTAGCTGACTCCCTGGATTGCAGTGCGCAGTCGGGAGGAAGATTGGCCACGGTGGGACACCATGTTTCCGACAATGATAGATGTCTTGGTTACTCTGAGAATGAAGAACTGGAATTCGATGTATAAGCGTTTTGCAGCAGTTCAGGTGGTTGTTGCCATCTTGGAAAAGTTAGGGCTGGTGGTGCATGGTTGGGGGTGCAACAACAGCCTCATCCCTGTGCAGACTTGGCTGCTCGATAGGATGTCGAGCCGTCCGGCACGATATCTCCATGTCGAGTGGAGGACTTTCCAAAATTGGGTTTCAGCACTATGGAACGATTTGGAGCTGGTGTATTGGCATCTGGTGAAACGTGTCACAGATAACTTGCCTCTCAGTGTGGACAGCGGTCAAGTGTATGACCGATTGAGAGTGTGGTATACGCTTCCTCTGGCAGATGCGATGACCGGCGTGTATACCCCAACAGATCAGGAATTGCTGGTGCTTAAGGATATGACACCGTATGAGAGTTGGACTGCGCTGATTGCTGCGCAAAGAGTGGAGGCTAGGAATGCCTCTTCTGGAAGTGGGAGGGGTACAGTAGCGCCTTAGAAGAGTTAGTTAGAGAATATATGCCACAAACAGAGAATCATTAGTTTAAATTTTGTTATCTGCTCCCTAGTCAGTCCAGGAGGAACATGGAACAGCAGTAAAGACGACCTTTTTCTGCCAATTAAATTTTGCTGGGTTCAAGCACCTCTCTCCAGCTAGGTCGCGTATCGTACGTCGGGAAATGGGGAACAGGGGGCGTACATTGGTTGAGGAACAACAACCGACATCGACCTTCCGCATACGTCAGTATCTTGTGAAAATAACTAACCTCCATATTATCCAGGTTGTCGGACGTCGATACGTCGAGTTATAGCAACATCCACTACTGTTTGTGAACCTTCATAAAGCACAAGGCTACGCATATTAAATTACCATGAGCAACAGATTAAAGACCAAGGTACCTAACACTTACTTTCGCTTGCCAGTAGGTGATGCATATAGTCAACGCTAGGTATCAACTATTAGAATGTAAGAAGTCAGCATCAATACATGGCACAAAGAACTAACCTCCATGTAATCCAGCTTGCCGAACGTCGCTGATACATCGTGTGTCAGCATAAACAACGTACATGTGGCCGGTGAGCAAGGACACCTAGTGTAAAGGCAATGTAGACGAGGTAGACAAAATATCAACAACGGCGGGGATTGTGGCAGGTATGCAGAGGGGTGGTAAGTACTTCTCATCGACTCACTTTGGTGTTGAGACGACATGTCATCGTCCGATGTGTGCAAGGACACGGAAGGGCAGTGGACAATGTTTTTTGAAGGCAGTAGCAAGTCTGGCCCACCGAACTGGGACTCGCTTCCATCAATCACAAGAGAAGCACAGCCTATGCCGGCGGGAATCAAGAAGCACCCTGCCTCTCTCCCGTACCCTTCTCTTCCTCGCCATACCCCAATCCAATATGCACGGCGCATTCATGTTCTAACGGCGCATTCACATTCTAACGGCACTAGTACTCCCCAGCCAACCTCCAATCCACCGCATACTGCACGTCAGAAGCTCCCCGCCTTTCTACCCTATCCTTCCCTTGCTCTCTGCACCTAGTTCATTCCCCCTCCTCCCATGTCGACTTCCAACGTGCGAAGCACGGTCAAATGGGGATCTAGTGGCGCTGATACTCCACAGCTAACCTCTAATCCACCCCATCTTGCGCCTCAACCCCTCAGCAGAGACAAGCCATTACCATCATTACCGCCTCGACCAGACATTCAGCGAGCGGCGGCTCTTCAGCACACTCTTGAACCCCAACGCAACGTCCTGCACCCGTCGTTCCATCAACCACCCCTCACTGTCGAAAACAAAGTCCATCTTCTCCGCGCTGGCAAATACCATCGATGAGTCAACCTGCCAGGCGTAGGCAGACCCAACAGAATTTCTCTACCTCCACCATACTCCCCCCTTGACCCTCATCCAGCCACCCCACCTGTCGTACATTTGCCTCCCCAACTCGTCGACAATCCCAACAAACGTCGGGCACAGATGCGTGCTGGCGGGACCGGCCTTACAGACACCAACGTCGGTGCTCTCAATGACTCGCCGAACATGGCATCCCGCTACAGAGACACTCGTACAGGCCGTGTCAGGAAATTTTTCACCACCTGCAGGCTCTGGCTCAAGGGCCATTGTCGTAACTAGCACCCAACGTCATCCTATTAGAAGGTTTGGTCGCCTACAAACTCCCTGTGTCATCCTAACCATTTTTCTGCAGATTGTATAGTTGCTGCTGACTACTCTCCATGCTCTTGCTAGCATTGACTCCCTGTGTAACTTCCACTTCTTGCTACCTCAAACCTTTCTTGATGTTGTCCTGATGCTTTTGTTGCACTTACTATATCTCATGCTTATTTACAGCCATCCTGTTCACCTGTAGTATATTCGCCTATGTATCACAACATTGTCGACCTCCCTTGTAATATATTGTAACCTGTGTACCAAATAGGATAATCAGCTTTGTTAACATGAAACTTGAATATCGCTTCACCTTTCCTACTTTGTGCATGACAACAGCTCCTGATTGAGTGATTCTGGGGTGCAGTCTTCCACCATAACCACCTTTATCATATCGATGAACTGTCATGGTGGCATCAAAACCAGGTGCTATCAAATCAAGAGACACCTACCACCTTCGATGTTAGCCATGGTCACGATCTTGGTGACACTGTTCTGCAACATGGTCAGGTGATATGAGGTATTATTTAAATCACAGACTCACCAAGATGATGACGATGAAGATCTGTTGCCGAGGCGCTATCAGATCAGGTGCTATCAAAACAATATACTTAGCCTATCCTTTAATGTTAGCCATGATGATGTCTTAACACGGTTAAGTGCAATCACCTACTATTGAAACTATTGACTTACTGCGATGACCACGATGAACATCTGTTGCTGAATACCAGGACGACAGGCCGGTTACTGCCCTGGATGCAAAAAAGCAATAGCCATGGACAACATGCCAGTGATAATCGATAGTTCAAGGTGCAATGATGGCTGAGAACCTGTCAAGATGTGAACAGGTAGTATCAAAGCACACTCACAATGATGACGGTGACGAGCAACGCTTGTTGATGAGCACCAGGCCGAAAGACCGGATTCCTTCCTGCTCAAAAAAGCAATGGTCAGTGTGGGCGGCCTTCCCACCCTTATGGCCTCTATCCCCCAGCCTGACATCCACAATATGCCATCTCAAACTCGCACCACTACCCAGCACATGCCCAATCAGCCATTCGACCATACTGACTTCGCGGAGCAAGCACATGTTCAGGGAGCACGTGCCTATCAATACTGTCTTCAACAGCAAGCAGAGCTCCCACACTTCCTTCATCACCGCACGCTTCCCAGTCATGTGCTAGATGCAGACGTTCACCATGCCACCGTACTGGAGCAATCGCTCGCAGCCCAGTGCAATCACTTGGATCCATCTTTCCATACCCCACCCCTTATCCACGAAACGAAAGGTCGATTGTTGCAATCGCACCTACACCCTCCGCCTGTGCAGGCTACCTCTCGTCTTCTCCAGCCAGATCAGCGTACCACCTCATGGAACAGGGCGTCGCGCCCGCCCCCGTACTCTATGCTTTTTCCCGCTGGCGGCCATCCCAATCCACCTCCCGTATGTGCCGTTGTTCCCGGGGAAGCCCCTGGTATTTCTGGTCCGCCTCTCGACACGTCAACAGTCATTCCATGTGCACAAAGTCCGGTACTACCTTCTCATCATGGCCATGTCCGGAAGTTCCTAAGGAGGTGCAGCCAATGGATCCGGCGCCGCACCTGAGTGAGAACTTCGTGGTGGTGAGCAGTGTACGTGAGATCACAACATGAGTTCTCCTAAGCTCCCCAGGCCCTCTGTAACCATGTAACCATTCTCCACATATTCCTGGCTTGTCGTGGATGGCTGTCCTGAGAAAACCAGATGTTTTCCCCCAACTTTCCTTGCCTCAATGTTTTTGTAGTTCACGGCTTCATGTGGTTATTCTTCTTGTGCCCATGCCCTGCTCACATGGATGATACGGAAGCAGAGGTCTTCTAGTTGTATATAAGTGCTATTTATTGTGCGACATCAGTAGTATAGCAAATCTCCGTTGTATCTATATTACCCTGAAGAAATTTTGTCAGATTCTTTCATATGAGGCTGCATACACCCTTACCTTTCCACATCTCATGTCAGGGCAACTGATTCCTGCATCCTTCTATGGCCACGTCAACTTCCACCTTTCAAGGCCTACACCAGTCCTGTCCACATCTCGTAAGGCGTCGTGCCCTTCAAAACAAGCAGTTCTTGGTCTGTTGGCACGTAACTTCCCGTCATCGCCTGTGCCAGAGGAAGTGTACCACTGTTCTCATTCTCACTCCAGTCACCGTTCATGTCGCCATCCAGGTGGTTCATCAGCGATCTGAAATCGATAATGCCCGAGCTGGAGCCATCGAATGGGTTCGAGGGTATTTTGTCACTATTATTGGCACCTTCGTTCGCCTCAGGTGGCGGAGCCTCATCGCCGGAATGGTTGATAGGTTGACTGAGTCCAGCCATGAGACTATCGAGATCTTTCCATCCTCGAATGAGTGTCTCCGCTATCACGACATAGATGAGCTTGCTCACCAAAAGACGAGGCACTCTCGATAGTCCTGGGTGATACATGACCTTCAACCGACTCCTCGTCTACCTCCATCGACTCCATCGGAGGAACCTCAGATGGAGATGATTCGGGATCCTCTATCTCGTCGTCTGAGGGCGATATCTCGCTACTTGGCGCATCTGCCTCAGGGTTGTATTGATATTCGGGGCTCGCAGGATCACTTGCCATCAACACAGCCTCGCGATCTGGACATTGAAGCTGCATAAGCTCACGGCTGGAGTAGAGTACAGTGTGGATCATACCTCATTCCCGTCATCGACTGCTGGCTACAATGGGGCACCCTCTGGAGCTCACAGCAGACGAACTTCCCAATGGAAGGTCTCACATCCTGCGTCGTCCACACACCAAGATTCTGGTGGTATTTTATCACTACCCCATGACCGGGGTGTGGCTGCTGATGCAATTTGTCCTGTCATGATGTGTTGGAGACGTCCCATCACACTGATAGCCATGCTTTGCCACGGAAGGTCACGGTGAAGAGGCTGGCTGTGGGCACCTGTGGAATAGTGAGCGGGCTAAAAGGCGAACCTCAAAAACCCACACACACACTCACACAACTACACAAACTACAATCACCCTCGTAAGTTCTAGGGGGAGCGATTATTCCTAATGCGATCCAACTATACTTCAATATCTCGAAGAGTTTCTCTTATCCTCAGCGCTCTTAGCGAAGCTAAGCTTTCTCTAATGAATTCCTAAGTCTAGGAACTTTTTACAGGAAGGTCGTTCACTGGCACGATGCAACCTTCAAGGCAGATTTGAGTTATAATACACAAGGGACACTGATCCCAACAGAAACAGAGGCAATACACGCTGAAACTTTAGTGAGCTCGCTAAAAGAACACCACAGGCAAGCACTGACTTAGCCCACTCGCTACACAACTGTATGTAGGGGTTCTCCAACTAACTCCCGCAGGTTATCTCGACTCAAGAACACTTCAGAAGTGCTCGGAAAACAGATTCAGAAACGGAACTTCGAACAGAACTGACACGGAACAGACTGAAACAGAACAGAACAGAACAGAACAGAACAGATCTCAGATTTCCACTTCAACACATTCTCCGAACAGACTTATTACACTTAACAGAACAGAAACAGTGTCACTGATTCGTATTCACTCTGACTAAGTTCTCAAAAGTCTTATCAAAAGGGTATCTCGTATTTCTCTGAGTGAGCTCGCTAATTCTACGCACAGCTCGAAGTCACAAACTGATCCTTTGTTACAGTACCGCCTTCAACGCGTGCACGGGAACTCGGGGGCTCGAAACTTCGCCTCTATCTACTGTAACCAGCCTACTTATACTACAGGGGAATTAGAATTATAAACGTCGCACAGTACCCAGACTCCTACATGCGTAGCACGTTGCCACCGCTGCCTTACTGAGCATCCGAGTCGGACTTCCCAGTTTTAGTCTCATTTCTATAGTGAGCTCACTAAACGCATGCCAAGAGGTGCTCTCCCGACACCCGTGGGCTCGTTCTCTAGCGACCGACAGGTCTAGGCGCACGGAACTATCAGTTCTGGCGTATGTCGTTCAGGACTTCTTTCTTGGATTCACAGAGGCTTCTCGTAGACACGGCAACAAGTGAGTCTTCAAACAATGGGACTCAGAACAATGGAACGCGGGCTCGCGGACTTCGGCCGAAGCCCATTGCCCAAGCTCGTGCCGGTGATATCTGTCCGCTCGCTTAAGGATTTCCCCGGATTTTCAGGTATGGCGCATCACAGTTAGCGAGCGCGCTAAGTGTTCTCAGTGCCAGTGCAATCTTCAAGGTTTTATCTAGCTCCCACGAGTGTGCTTGTAAGTTAGAGCCTAAGGCATTGGGTATAGGGTTTGGCCTTCTCATCACGCATGCCTGTCAGGTACAGTGCTGTGACTAAGTCCTGTTTAGAATCCCGTTGCTTCTTATGCCATAAGTTATATTCCATATCATTGCACCGCGTAGCATTAGTGTCGACGCGTAGTTTTAGTCCGCTCGCTCACTATTTCTCAGTATGCATGTAAAACACTCTAGATTGCAAAATTACACGTGTAAATAGGCTGCAGTCGCAACAACAGCTGTTCACGACTGTCCAATTACTGCATAGAGAGAAGCTGAAATTTTCGTCATGTATGCCCTGCGCAAATTACCATAATTTCATACCTCCTAATGCCTGAATTTAATCACCCAGGCCATCCACCCCAATTCCCTTGTAGAAACGAGGATGCCTGAGTATCCAGGAATGCAGACCGTTGATGCGTATATCTCGCTCTGCAGATTATCATTCATTGTCCTATTCACAATTGTAATCGAGATAATATACCTTACAAAGACTTGTTCCATGTCATACGTTCTTCCCAACATTCGGATATTCGGAGAAAGGTTTAGGATGATATCGCAAGGACATCCTTGGTACCCAATGCTGAAACGGGGTCCAAGCGCCTGGATGAGCACTTCTGGAGGAAGGAAGCACCGAGCATAACGATAGCACCGACATCGAATGTCCAAGTGCACCAATGGCTGACATTACTGTCGAGCATTTCATGGATGCCAGCTGTCCTCATCCACCAGGCAGTGGCAAGGTTTATGTAGATTTGTTTGTTCAGGCTGTGCTCATGGGTGGCGACCCCATATTCCTGAAAAACGGGCTGGTACTAGTCTGTCCGACACCTGCCGAACCTCGGATGGGGACAGAAAGAGGGTGCTTAGATTGGTATAGATCCAGCGAGACACCGCAATCTAGATCATATGCTCCAGTCGGAATAACTGACCCCAGTATTAATACTTGTGCATGTGCCGTTCACGACGTGTTCTAGGAATTGGCAAGAGCATGATGTCGCTGAGCACACAGACAATAAATACTTCGCAATAAATACTTCGAAGATATATTCTTAGATCGGTATCCTAGTCTGCCTGCCTGCTCACATTAATGTACATATCCCATTGTTCAATGACACCCGCTCTCATGCAGCCGGCTCAACGTAGGGGTGAGCATGTCCAACAGTCTGATAACTTCTGGTTTCAAGAGGAAGTCGGACAAGTCGGTACTGAAAGTAGACGGCTAGTCTTAAGACAAGTCAGCATTTATATTACAACTTGACTTGGCTAGAATCATGCGTACCGGTGGTGCGATCTGGTCCAATGCAGGCTGACTATCCACGTCCAGTGTTTCAGCCTGGTACTAAGCAGAAATTTTTGGATTGTGCTACCACCAAGTACCGATCAACTCACCTGCATCCCAATAGGTCTACCATTGAGCCAGGGATGAGTTCTTGTGGTCTCATGTTGGATTCGGTAAGCCTTGCCTTGAGCTTCTTGCTTTGACAGCTGGCTTGTCATCCCATCATCTGCCTGGACATGCGCCGCCCACTGCACTTGGGGCTCCCAGTCGAAGAGGTCCCACGGTGTCGTCTCATATATAGCCTTCCAGGCGACTGTGTTCCTGTGGATTGGCATCACCTAGGACATTAGAGGTTCATTGGAACGCACGTATTCTGGCTTTTTCCCTCGCAGATTTCTCTTGCTCTTCCTGATTCAACACTTCCCACGCGGCATCCCAATACGGATCGGGGAGTGCAGGTATGCTGGCATTTCCCCTTGCAGTTCTCTCTTGCTCTTCCTCATCCCACACTACCCACGCGGCATCCCAATACGGATCGAAAACGTCTGCAACTAGTTGCCACAGGCTGTTTAGCAAAATGCAAAGCGTCGGACTGTTACCAGATTGACGCACCTTTCATCTGACACCAAGGCTTCCAGCGAGGTGTAGAGTAGAGCCAATTATCGTGTCGAACAGGCGAGAGACACGGCGTGCAAGCCAATGAATTCATATTGTACCTTGTCATGTGCTCGCGATCGGAACACGGTAGCTCCCGCAGAAGCATGGTGAGTCATGGCTCTTTCAAATGGTGGGTTTTGCCGCCACGGCTGTGCCACTATGTACTCTATTTCATTGCCATACATTGTTGGCCTCCGTTCCTCGTTCAAATTCTTATTGGGCATGTCAGCAATGACCGCAACCCTGGCTGGACATTTGTCACCAGAAACAATTGGGAGCGATAGACTCCTTGCCCTCATCCTACCCCACCATGGATCCACCTCAGTTACCCTTCAACGTGGTGGCTCAAATTATGTCTCTCTCAATACTCACGAATGCCAACCTTTACCGTTGTTTAACCGTGTGCACGGAATGGTACGTTGCCAGCATGCGGCAGTTGCTCCAGGTCGTGCAGGTCAATGAAAAATGGGATTGCACTTTCTGGTCACTCTACCTGCAGAGGCGATCAGCTCATGCCAGCTGCATCCGTCAAATACACATTAACGGTCACAACATGCCATTGTCCTCAATCCTCCTCAATGATGTCATCTGCGTATGCCCCAGTCTCACCCTATTCCTCGGAGTCGATCTCGATCTCTCCCACTTCCAAAGGCCGGTCTTGTTCCAAAGCCCCATAGAGATCAGGCTGCGGTGATGTAGATTCTGCAGGTCGGGAGCGGGTGCACTGTTCAGCTACTCTGATATCACAAGTCTGACTGTCATCAGTCCTTCCTTCCTTACCGCCGATGTGCCTGGTCATGTTTCGTACGGACCGCCTCGTTTAGTGGGCAGCATAACCATGACTCGGGCTACACTCCGTGACATGATGGAATTATTCGCTTGCTTGCCACCACGAATGATCGTGTTCGAGACGGTTGAACTGGATGTCGTATCAGCTGACAATTGGGAGCTCCATGGTGCGCGCATTGTTGTACCCACGCTGGGGAGCGCCGTGAAGCGATTGCTTATACACGCTGTTGGTATGTTTCTCCATAGCCTAGGTGTCTGTTCTACATGCTGATGTTTGCGTAGAGACCTTCCCACCTGTTCCCATGTTTATCGACCTGTCGAACCTGGTGTCGCTTGAATGGTTCGCATTTATGTCAGGCAAGATCAGCCCGACATCTGCTCTCAACATGTTGCACTCCATACCGGTGCATGCGCCTCTCCGTCGTGTAACTCTTGCGGTGGCAACCTTCATCGACCCTACATGGGGATGCATTCCTACATCCTTGGTCAGGTTCAGGTGGAAAATCCAGATGTGCATCGCTTATCGCGCTCTCCCTGCCAACAGAGATGTCATCAACACATCGTCCTTAGTTAACGTGTCCTATGGTACATATGCGGAAGTGTGGGATTACATGTAAGTGGTCTCAGGTCCTTGGGCCCAATCTCGAAGCTCAAACATCGACTTGATTCTTCTTTTAGTGTGAAAAAGAGCTCTTGGTGACTATGAGTTATAGTGATACCTTCAAAACGTATTGCCAAGAATAGAGAATGCAATGTTACTATGTCATTTCGCATGTTTAGCAATGAATCCAACTGCTTAGCTTAACGGGTGTTCACGCACAGTGGATACATATACATGTCTGTGCCATGTCCAACTGGAATGACTCTTCCAAAAAATGCACATCCCTGAAACTCACACCATGGGGCTTTGTTGAAGTATATTTGGCTGACGCATCAAAAGGGAATCTTATGGGATGTTATCATTTGCAAAGGCCTCTTGGCTTTATCCGACCAACTATGTCTTCGCTAGATGCGCACACACCAACAACCTTCATAACAAAATGCTAGGCTATGACGAGTTCGAAAAAAGCTTGTACAGGTAAGTATACAGAATAAGGAACATCTACAGTGTATGCTGATTTGGATGCAGAGAAACGCTTATATGTGCGATTGTTCACTCCGAAGCGTCTTGGGTACCACACATGGTGCGCAAGCCCTTTCAGATCATGGTTTACACCACAGTGCAGCGCTTTTCCGATGAGGCTAGCGGCCGGGGACCGGGGGGGGAGACGAAGGAGAGGGCGACTTCGAGGGTGTGGGTTAAAGTGGAGCTGGATGTCGAGGAGGTTGGTGGAGGACTGTGGTCTTGAATCATGAGGAGAGCTCAACCATGCTTGAGTCTCAGTCAAAAGTCCGTGGGTTTGAGTCGATGGCAGTGTATATCAGTTGATAAATCGATAGAAACCCGTAGCTAGCTAAGAATGGGGCATCCCATGATTTTGCGATCGCTACCTATGGATATCCTTCAATGGCCATAGATTATTGTCGGTGTGCATCATTGTACGTTGATAGGAATCAATAGAACATGTATTCATTTGCTTGCTACCTATATACACTAGCTATAGCGGCTAGCTACAGGTCCAGGCATCCACCCACTTATCGAACTCCCGTTCTGCCAGATACCCATCCCTTGCCTCCCACCTTGCCAACCGGCCACACGATGCATAGAGGGGTCTTATGAGCCAACCTGAATGACTGTAAGCAGATACCCGTAATATAGAGCTTTAACATACCGCATCCAAGGTGGGAAAGGGCGCAGCCAACAAAAGTGCATCATGTGTAGTAACCTGGAGTTGATGGGCACCAAAGTTCGTGCCTGTAAGTCAATCAATACTAGGCCAAAAAGGTGACAACTTCGCACCTAGAAAAAGCAAATGGAAGAGATGACATGAATATATAGCATCGCCATGAGTCAACCTAGTGCAGCATAACGGAGAATAAGACAATGAAATGGTGAGGGATATAAGCAGACTCACCTTCTCCCGCAACTAAATCACGTCCAATCTCCTCACCACCGTCAACTACGAATGAAGATGCTGATTATATGCGGTTGCCTTGGTGCCTTTCCAGATCTACAG